CGCGGCTTCTCCCCGGCACCCGCCCAGACCCCCCTGGGGAGTCAAGATGCTCTCTTTTGACAGTGCTAGAACCCTATCAGTCTTCGCTGTTAGGTAATACAAAGATACCCTAAACATAATCAAACTATAATCCAAATATTGTCGGGGGACTATTTTTTTAGTGGGCATTTTGGGGCTAATCATGTTTTTTTATTCTTCGCCGAAAATCCCCCTGTAGGGGGACAGGCCCGACTTAAACGTATACAGAAAAAAACCAGACGAAGCGGAATGTGATCGCAGATGTTTTCAACTGTGGGCGTGGCCTTGGATGCTAAGTGCCCTGAGCCTTAATGTTACCACGTGTGCGTGCGTATCTGAGCGTCAACGGGCTTCTTTCGCCCAAAGATACCCAAGATACCAAAACCACCACCTACCCCTGCCTACCAACCGGAAGCTGTGCACACTCTGCTAGAACATTCCAAGACTCATTCCCTGGGTGCCTGCTCATATTCGATAAAGCGCGTACCACATGCTTGGAAGAGAGCTTGAGGGCGAGTCCGACTTTGCCGACGGAGGTCTTTCGCTGTGTTCGGCCTCTGGGGGGGTCAAAGTCGTGCTGCCCAACGCTGGACTGCTAGTCCATCGTCGTGCTGGGCGAAATGATCGCTCTGAGCATGAAAGGCAACGGACTGCTGCAGCTCGTGACTCGCATCGGCGAGCTGCTCCGACCCTCCAGCAGTCGGCAGTGCGTCGGCCTCGGCCTGCGCGCCGGAAGGGGGCAGGATGGTGACCTGGCGATCTGCTGCCAGGCCGGTGCTCTGCGCTGCGGACTGCGCCAGCTCACTCTCGAGCGGGAGCACGGTTTCGCCGCCGGAGTTCAAGGGGAGTTCTTCGGCGCCCCGCTCCGATTCACCAGTCGAAGCCTTGGCGGCGGACGGCGCCAGCATCACCTTCCCACTTCGTGCTGCAATTCGCTAGCTGCAACGACTCCAAGGGTGGACTTCGCCTCCGGGAACTGCGAGCTCGTGTGACCGCTCTCGTCTGGAGCCTCGCCCGCGCCCTGCGTCAAGACAAGGCGCCGCACCTGCTGGGACTCGCTGTCCTGGAATGCCTAAGAGAAGAGTCGCTGGACCAGCTGAGCGTGTTCCGGCACAAGTTTTCCCTGTCCTCCTTCCCCTCAGCCTGCACCGACTCATCAATGCGACTCTGCACCTGCAGAACCTGCTGGGATTCGTGCACGTTGAGCGTAGTGTGAGATTGCAAAGTCGGCAGCTCCAGTTCAGCAGCGATGAGGCGCCTTACCTGGTCTAGGCTCTGCGCCTGCTCCGGTAAGGAGCCTTCCTGCTGGCACACCTGGGCCCCTTCCTTGACCGTCAGAGTGCAACTCGATGTTGACGACCTCCTGGATCTCAGCCTCAACTTCTGGCCTGTCGAAGCTGATGCCGCCCGTAAGCTTCATCTTGTGCTCCTCCCCCCGGGGCGCGGGGGCCATGAGGTACAGCAAGAGCTCCTCCGCCTGCTCACTGTTCACACCCTCCTGCAGCCCCGCCAGGAACGCCTCGACTCCCGAGGCCCGCACAGAACGTGGGGCCTGTGGCTAGGTCGCCAGGCCAGGGGGGGGCGAGCTGCGGGCCCAGTTGGCCAGGTTTTTGATCTCCCTCGCCTTCCCCGCCTTCTGGCCCATGCCCAGCAGCTCCGCCGCCGCGGCAAGGTCCATCGAGGAGGTGAGATGGCCTCCGACGGAATCGGCCAGCTCCGGGTGGGCGCTCAGCCACAGCCGCGGGGTGGCGGTCCTGCGGGCGAGCGCCCGCGCGCGTGGCACGCCAGCTCCGGCGCGCCGCGTGCGCCGCAGCCAGCGCGCGAGCGTCCTCGCCGACGACGCCGCCCACTACTTGGCTTCTCCCATCTAGGCCTCTCGCGCGCCCTGGGCTCGCCGCGTGAGAGCTTCCCGTCTCCGCGGCTCTCTTGAGCCAACATCAAAATGGCAACATGGGGAGGCGGAGGAGGAGGCGGAGGCGGAGGCGGAGGCGGAGGAGGAGGAGGAGGAGGAGGAGGAGGAGGAGGAGGAGGACGGATGAGAAGGAGAAGTTGGAGAGGAGGAGGAGGAGGAGGAGGAGGAGAGGAGGAGGGAGGAGGAGGAGTTGGAGTTGGCGAGTTGGAGTTGGAGTGGGAGTTGGAGGAGGAGGGAGGAGGAGGAGGAGGAGAGGACGGAGGAGAGGTGGAGAGAGAGCCCCTGGGGAGGGGCTCGGGGCGGTGGCTCCCCGCGCAGGATGCCGAGTCGGCCCGCGGGTCCCAACCGCGAGCTGGCTGGACGCAGGCCCCGTGGCCCCCCCGCCTCTACGACCTGGCGGGCCCTGCTGGCCGCCTCGGGGGACCCTCACGGGCGGCCAGGCCCCCCGCTCGCCCCGGCGGTGGTCTGGTTTCCGAAGAGAGCTCCTCCTCCCCCCCCTCCCTCCCTCCTCGTCCTCCTCCTTCCCCTCCTCTTCCTACTCCCTCCTCCTCCTCCTCCTTCCTCCTCCTCCCTCCTCCCTTCGTCCCCCTCTCCTCCTCCTCCCTCACTCCTCTCCTCCTCCTCCCTCCCTCCTCCTCCTCATCCTCATTCTCATCATCATCAGTATCATATACATCATTCATCATCACATCATCATCATAATTCCATCATCATCAGCCATCATCTCATCATCATCATCAATCTCCCCCTTCTCCTCCTCCTCCTCCTCCTCCTCCTCCTCCTCCTCCTTCTTTCCTTTCGGTTTGTATCTCCTCCCGTGCCACCTATTCCTGAACGGCTACGAGACACTAGACGACCTGGGCTAGTCGCGGGGTGCGGTCTGAGAGCGTCCTCGTCACCCACACGCGCTGGCGTGTTGGCTGAGCCTTGACTCACGGGACCCCCTGGTCGCCCTGTGGGCTTCCAGGGGACGCATCGGTCTGCGCTTCATTCGTGTTTGTCGAATTCACGGCTACCTCGAGAATAAAAGTAATTTTTTTTTCTTTTGGCTACCTCGAGAATAAAAGTACTCAGGGAGCGTGGGTCCAACATTCTGTTCCAGGGGAAGGCCCTGCAACTGTCCACACAACGGGGTGGAGGTGTTCCCAGGAAGTGCGAGTTCTTAGAGCTATCACCATGCGCCCGTATCCTTCGTCCCTCGGACCTTCCGCGAGGCAATTGTGCCAGACCTTTGTACGTAGCTCCGTACTCCGAGCTTCTCAATAAGCGTCGGGGGGGGGCGTCCCTCCCGCCGACAGCCCCACATCGACCCCCGTCGCGGGCAGCCACCGCGCGCCGAAGGCGCTCCGACCCCCGACTCAGAAGCCCAGGGTATGTGGATATGCGCATGCATTTGTGTATACAGGTAGTCCCATCCTGCGGCTGTTTGCTGCACCCTATCAGAGGACCTGCATGTCTCAGGCGTAGCAGTCCCCCATCACTCTGCGGCTGTCAGCTGCTCTCCGGCCGTGCTTCGGGATGTCTCAGGTGAAGCCATTTTCCATCGCTCTGCGGCTGTTAGCTGCACCCCAGCAGAGCATCGACACGTCTCAGGCGAAGCCACTACCCAGCATCATGCGGCCGGTAGCTGCACCCCAACTGATCAGGCAGTCGCGACCCGTACCCCGCTGACCGCGCCTGTTACCCACGCCCCTGCAGTGCAGCTGCACGTCTCAGGCGAAACTAGTTCCCACCATCCTGCGGCTGTTAGCTGCACCCTACCAGAGGACCAGCATGTCTCAGGCGAAGCACTCCCCCGTCCATCCGCGGCTGTCAGCTGCACTCTGGCCGGGCTTCTGGATGTCTCAGGTGAAAACATTTCCAACCATTCTGCGGCTGTTAGCTGCACCCCCGCTGGGCACGGATATGCCTCAGGCGAAACATTTCCCTGCACCCCCAGGGCCGTGGGCTGGTCACAAGAGATACTGGCGCGGGCACCCACCCTCCTGCGGCTGTCAGCCGCCTCCCTGAAGCTAATCGAGCTCCCGGCGGCTGTCAGCTGCCTTTCTCTGCTGGGCGCCTCCGGACCCTGTGCTCCCCCCGGGGCACGCGGGGGCACGCGGGGCGCTAGGTCCCCCTCGCCCGGTCGGCCTCGCGCTGGCACTGGAGACGGCCGTGGGTACTGCTACTCGGTCCTCAGTGAGGGCGCTGTCGGGCTTCGTGCTGCTGTCGTCCACTCCTGGGCTCTGCAGTCACCTGGTCATTACGAGGCATTTGCATTCGATGACTCGACGCCGCGCGGGTGCCCGCTCGCGGTCGCGATCAAAAAAGTACCCCCACCACCCCACGCAGAGTTGAGCTCTTGGAGAGCAGCCTGGTCCTGGAAAGTCTGCGAGCATGCGCTCGCACAAATAAGCGAGGCAGAGGGAGTAACCGCCGTATCGATTTTGCGCTCTTTCCTCATCTGCGCTGTCGTGCGATGCCGCCACAGCGCTGGGGCGGGCGCCCGGGGGCTGGGGGTGGGGAGGGGGCCGCCTTCGGGCGTCGGGGGGCCTCCCTGGGTCTCTTGGAGGCGCGGAGGAGCGCTGGAGGTGGCGAGCGAGAGCCTGGAGGTGGGAGGAGAGAAATGGAGGAGGAGGAGGAGGAGGAGGAGGAGGAGGAGGAGGAGGAGGAGGAGGAGGAAGACGAGGAGGAGGAGGACGAGAGGAGGGGGAGGAGGAGGAGGAGGAGGGAGGAGGTGAGGAAGAGGAGTGGTGGAGGAGGAGGGAGGAGGTGGAGGAGGAGGAAAGGACGAGGAGGAGGGGGAAGAGGAGGCGGAGGAGGAGGAGGAGGAGGAGGGGAGGAGGAGGAGGAGGAGGAGGAGGAGGAGGAGGAGGAGGTCGAGGAGGAGATCGAGGAGGAGATCGAGGAGACAGGGGGAGGAAAGGGGTGGGACGAGGGGAGCTGGATAGGGACAAGGGGGACAGGGCGAGGGGGCAGAGTTCCTGAGACGAGGCGCAGGGGATGGCAGCGGAGGGGGGGCACGGGCAGACGGCGACGAGCTCCTCTCTCGCACCTCCAGCCGACGAGCTCCCTGCCCGCCTGGGGGCAGGCGTCGGTGCTCGTCCAGCTGTCCGGCGTGCACCGCCTGGCCCAGAAGGGGCAGCCCGCCCTGGAGGCCTCCCGCCGCCCACTTGCCGCCTGCCCCCCCCGCCCCCGTTCCCTCGTGCCTCTGCCCGAGGAGGTGCCCAGGCCCGTCGATGGTGCCACTCTGCCCTCCCTCCCCCGCCCTCCCCCCTCCCTTCCCCCTTATCCCTGCCGATCACGATCCTGCGCGCCCCCTTGCCCGCAGGAGCGTCCGCCCCTCCCCCCTCGCCTGCCGCCCCCCCTGCCTGCCTGCCGCCGTCCTGGCTGCCTCCCCCCCTCCCCCCCCCTCGTCCTCCCTCCTCTCCGGGGCCTCTCGGGGCTTCTGGTGGCCTCCAGGGGTCCCCGGCAGCCTCAGAGGGGGCTTCCATGGGAGCTCCAGGGGGGAGGAGGCGCAGGAGGACTGCACGGCTCGACGGCCCGGGGTGCCGTCACGGTGGCGTTATGCCGTTTTCTCTTCTCCTACGGGAGGAGGAGGAGGAGGAGGAGGAGGAGGAGGAGGAGGAGGAGGAGGAGGAGGAGGAGGAGGAGGAGGAGGAGGAGGTAGAGGAGTAGGAGGAGGAGGAGGAGGAGTGAGGAGGAGGAGGAGGAGGAGGAGGAGGAGGAGGAGGAGGAGGAGGAGTAGGGGGAGGGGGAGGGGAGGAGGAGGGATGAGGAGGAAGGAGAGGAGGAGGAGGAGGAGAGGAGGAGAGGAGGAGGGAGGAGGAGGAGGAGGAGGAGGAGGACGGAGGAGGAGGAGAGGAGGAGGAGAGGAGGGAGGAGGAAGGCAGGGAGGAGGAGGAGGTGGAGGAGGAGGAGGAGGAGGAGGAGGTATGGAGGCGGAGGAGGAGTGAGGAGAGGAGGCGGAGGGTAGGAGGAGGAGGAGGCGTGGGAGGAGAAGGAGGAGCAGGCGGAGGAGGAGGAGGAGGAGGTGGAGGTGGAGGAGGAGGAGGAGGAGGAGGAGGAGGCGGAGGCGGGGCGGAAGGAGGCGGAGGAGGCGGAGGAGGCGGAGGCGGAGGGGAGGAGGAGGCGGAGGAGGAGGAGGAGGGGAGGAGGGTAGGAGGAGGAGGAGGAGGAGAGGAGGAGGAGGAGGAGAGGAGGAGGAGGAGGAGGAGGAGGAGGAGGAGGAGGAGGAGAGAAGAAGAAGAAGAAAATCAGAAGACGAAGAAGACGGAGAAGAAGAAGAATAATAAGAAGAAGAATAATAAGAAGAATAAGAATAATAAGAAGAAGAAGAAGAAGAATAAGAAGAATAATAATAAGAAGAATAAGAAGAATAAGAAGAAGAAGAAGACGAAGAATAAGAAGAAGAATAATAAGAAGAATAATAAGAAGAAGAAGAAGAAGAAGAATAAGAAGAAGGAGGAGGAGGAGGAGGAGGAGGAGGAGAAGGAGGAGGAGGAGGAGGAGGAGCAGGAGGAGCAGGAGGAGCAGGAGGAGCAGGAGGAGGAGGAGGAGGAGGAGGAGGAGGAGGAGGAGGAGGAGGAGGAGGAGGAGGAGCGGGAGCGGCAGCGGGAGCGGGAGCGGGAGGGTTTGGCGCGTCCGGCGCGCCAGGAAGGGGGGGTCCAGCGCAGATCCAAGAGATCCGCGCGGAGCGCGACATGTTGATGTTTGTGCCGCTTCCTCTTCTTCTGCGGGAGGAAGGAGGGGGGGGCGCTGCGGCAGGCCGCCCAGGAGGCCCTCGACGTGGCTCTGCGGGCGGGCTCTGCGCAGGAGGTGGCGATGTCGCTCGTGGCCTTCGCCGAGGTGCGGGCGCCACGGGGGCCGCGCGCGCTCCAGAGGGAGGGGGGGGGCCGCTCTCAAGCGAGGTTTCCGGGGACGTTGCTCTGTGCTCGGGCGATGAGACCAATGTTTGTGGAGGAGGATCCGTGGAGAGGAAGCGTGTTGCCAAATACTCCAAATCCCTTATTAATCGACCCCCCCCTAAAAGACCAGACCCCCCTCCAAATGCGACCTAATATTCCGGACCCCCTCTTCGATGGGGCGCCTTAGTAAACCAGACCCCCTCAGCTCCAATCCAAAGAAAGCGACCTAATAAACCGGACCCCATTAATGACCAAATAGGCGCCTTAAAAAACCGGACCCGGGGGACGATTAAAAAGGGATTTGGAATAATTTCCAGATGTCCAAAGAATGTGCCAGAACTGCTTCCAAAACATGTATATAACAAATGCTTCAGACATGTTCAGGACATCATGTTTCCGACATTTCAGATACATGTTTAATTCGAGGATAGGGCTGTTAGGGTGTCCCTTGTCGTGGCATCCACAAACCTATGTGCCGCAATTTCTGCACCAAGTAGGTTGCATTCGAAGAAGAACAGCACGACATAAACATCAACTTTCGACGCTCCATGCGGATTTCTCGGATCGGCGCTGAGGTGCCTCCGGCGGTGCCTCCGGTGCCGCCCCTGGCGCGCTCCGCGCGCCAGGGAAATCCGCGCGGAGATCCAAGAAATCCGCGCGGAGCGCCAACAGTTTTGTCTATGCAGTTCTTTTCTACTTTCTGCACCAAGTAGATTGCACCCCATTGATTACACAAGTTCGCACGCGGCACATAATTAACCCGAGTAAGCGATTAAGGAACCCCCCCCCCCCCTCTCCGGTGAAAGGATAACGCACCCGGCACCCGGAAGCGTTATCCTGGCACCAGGAGGGGCTACCTCAGCTTTTCTCAGCTTTTTCTTAGCTTTTCTAAGCTTTTCCTTAGCTTTTCTCAGCTTTTCCTTATTCGTATTCGTATTCTTATTCTCATTACAATTCTAATTGGGATGCCACCCGAGGCGGGGCGCTGGAATTATTTATTTTCCTTCCATTTGCGCGGTGCTAATAATATCGCTCGGCGAAAACCCCCCCAAATAATTATTTAATTACGGCGCGGTGCTAATGATAACGCCGGGGGGTTCCTTAATTGCTTCTCCGGGTTAGCTTGCACCACATCCTGCACCGCCTTCATGGCACACGGTCGATTGCACCACGTGTGCATTGCACCAAGAAGACTGCACCATAATCATTGACCACATGTGTGGGGCCTCGTAAGTTGTGTTATATACCGTGCACGATTCGCATCTAGAGTGACAAAGTCCAGCCTTCGGTTTCCACAGGCAAGCGATTCACAACACTTTCATAATACCATGGCTTGGTTCCAACGCAACCGCAGTCGAATCGTTGTCATACCTTGCTTATCCTCGCTCTTGTTCGGCCTTGCATCGCTCTTTGCCTTTTGACTTTTCACCCCTTATTGCGCCTTGCTCCCTGTCCACGCTTCTTACGTTTTGGAGCCCCCCACTCCCGCTAGGGGTGGGTTTCTATCATCCCTAGGCTTCAGTACAGCTGGCCTCGTGATTCCTCCTCTTCCTCCTCTCTCCTCCGACCTCTCGGGCGTCTTCCTTCCTCCCCTCCCTTCTCCCTTCTTCCCTCTGCCCCGAAGCTCTGCTGGTCTGGCCCGCTTGGCGGCTGGACAGGCGCACGTCGTCCTGGGGAACGGCAAGGAGGCCGAGGAACTGGCGAAGCAGGCCAGGCGCGCCCTGGCAGAGTTCCATAAGGAGGATAACAGTGACGATGAGGATGAGTAGGAGGAGGCGGATGAGGATGAGTGAGGATGAGGAGGAGGAGGAGGAGGACATGGATGAAAACGACGAGGACGTTGGGAGGGGGTTGAACGAGGAGTGTGGGGGGAGGATGGGGAAGGAGGACGGATAGTCATGGTGATGATGGAGGAGGACGCGGAGAGGGAGGATGATGACTAAAAGGAGGGGGAGGAGGGGGGGGGCGCTGGAGGAGGTGGGGTCGGGCATGGGTTCAGAGAACTAGAAAGAGGACACGGAGTGGGGGAGGAGGGTAGTGGGCAAGGTGAAACAGGCTGGCGGAGTGGGAGGATAGGAGAAAATGGCAAAAAGGAGGAGGGAGAAAGATTAAAAGGAGGAGGCCGAGGAGGAGGACGAGGAGAAGGGATAAGGGAGAAGGAAGTAATTGGAAGAGGAGGAGGGCGAGTTGGGGAGGAGGCGGAGGAGGACCAGTGCACGCCGAGATGCGTGAACAACTCTGTGAGTCACACACGCACGAGCACACGCTCACACGCACAGTCAGACTCACACCCAGATTCACCCTCGCACACGCACGCTCTCTCTCTCTCTCTGTGTCGTATTATTCTGCTGCGAGGGTAGCTTACGTACACGTCCCGCGCGCTGCGAGCAGAGGTCAGGACTCCCTTAACCGGGGCTCTCATTCCAAGACGACAGCGAGAAAGAGAGAGAGAGAGAGAGAGACGCGCCAGCAGGCACCACACAAAAAAAAGCAGGCGCCGCCGGGGGTGCACCTCCTGCCACCGTCTTGTCGGGAGGTGCCTCCCGCTCCGTCCCCTCCTCGTCCTCGTCTGCGCGCCCGGGGAGCTGCGCAGGCAGACGCGTGCCTGAGCCAGAGCAGCTGTCAGCTGGCCCGACGAGGAGGAGGAGGTGGAGGAGGAGGAGGAGTTGGAGTATTATGAATATGAGTACAACTATGAGTATTTGGATAGGAGTAGGAGTAGGAGTGTTACCAAACAACAGAGTCAACAAGCCAGCACCCTGGCCAACGGGTCTGCAGCAGGGCCCCGTGGGGACGAGCAGGTCTACGAGCAGACCATCCTTTGGCCACGGCTTCGCGGTCGGTGATGCACAGCACGCTGCCCGACGAGGCACAGCAGCCCCCCCCCCCCCGCGCGTGTTGCCTCCGCGTGCTCGCCTGGCCGCGCGGGGTGCCCGGACCGCCCGCGCGACGTCCGCGGGCTGAGGCCGTGCCCCTCTTCCGGCAGCTGGGCGACGAGGCCGCCCTATTCCATTATTTGTTTGGATTAGTTCGTGTTTCTTTTTGATTTGATTGTCTTGATGTTTGGGGTGTGGTGTTGATATTTTGTCTTTTTTCTTTATTTGTTTTTGTTTTGCTCTTTTTTTAGTTTTTGTTTATTTTTTTGGACGTGGTCGAGCAAATCGCGAGCAGCGCCCGCATCCTCCAGAGGACGGGCGCGGGGGGGTCAGGCCACAGCAGCCATTCGAAGGGACTTCGGAGGGGGAAGAGGCGGAGGAGGGGGAGGTGGGGAGAGGAGGGGAGGTGAGGAGACGGCGAGAGGGAGAGGGATAGGGAGAGGGGAGGAGGAGAGGGGAGGAGGAGGAGGAGAGGAGGAGGAGGAGGAGGAGGAGGAGGTAGGAGGAGGAGGAGGAGGAGGAGGAGGAGGAGGAGGAGGAGCGAGGAGGAGGAGGAGGAGGAGGAGGAGGAGGAGGAGGAGGTGGAGGTGGTAAGTAATATGCTGCTGGAACGGCGTCCAAGAAACCGACCGCGAGGATAAAACGGAAACAAATTAAACCGACTCCTCATCCTCCCCCGCACCCCGACGGGCGGCCTCCAGCTCCCAGAACGGGAGCGAGTCCACCGTGAGGCCGAAGCGGGCAAGGAGGGGCCCTCGCCCCATGGGAACCTGCCAAGGCGGTCCCCTGGGGAAAACGGCTCTGGAGGCTGGCGCCGACACACGCGCCTGGGGACGGTCGAGAATAGCCCTAGCCAAGTCCAGGAGATCTCCAGGGACGGGCCTCTCGAGACAGCTCACCCTCCAGCCTTTGTACTTGCTTAGCCACCTGGGGAAGAGACCCGCGAGCAACCGTGATCGCTGCTGCTTGAGCCCCTTCCCCGCATTGTGACCGTGACACTCGCGGACAGCGAGCTCCCTGACCCCGCCCCACGCATACGCCCCACACGAAATACAGCACACAATACGTGGGGCGGAGACAACTGAAGCTCCCGTCTGATCAAAAACATGGCACACACGCAGGTTATGCTGAGACAACCTCATCAAAATAGTAAGCTCAGGGTCACTCGGCCCCGCCTGGGCAGTGGCGGAAAGCACGGCCCTGAACCGCACAGACACGGGGGGAATGGGGCGCTCAGGGGGGCGGCCCTGGCGAGGGCCCGAACCAGGCACCAGGCGCTTATCAGGCAGGCCCTCCGAGTCCACCCATCCCCTCTCCCGCATCAGAAGCCCCTGCCGCCCAACCCACTGGCCCAACTCACGCCCCAAGAGTCTAAAACCAGCGATTTCACGGGCGGCCTGCTCGACCGATGGATGCTGACCTGCCCCTCGCTTCGCGAGGGCGTCGGCTATGGCGTTAGCCTTACGCTCCCAGTGAGTGGTGACACCTCGCTCCACATCCCCCTCCGTGCAATGGGCCTTCGTCTTATGGACAGCCAGCCCACCCTCGAAGGCCGCATGCACAGAGGTCCACATGTGAGCCTGGCCACAACGGGCACTCGTGGAGCGAACTCTCGACCGAGCACAGGAAATCGTGGCAGCACAATCAGTCCAAACGCCCTCGGGGTCCAAAGCGATCTGGCCGAGCATCTGATACGCATAATCCTCGCCATCCTTGGCGAGCTGGAGAGGAGCGACATCCCACGGGACGGGGCCGAAAGCTCCAGAGATCATGGCACCAGTGTCGTCGACCGAGATCACCGCCCACCCTGCTCTTCTCAAGAGCGGGTCCGAGGGGAAAATGGCCGAGCCGTCGGTAAAAAGTTTGCCAGACAACAGGCCATCCTCGGGCCTTCGAATCCAGAAGACCTGGCACCTTTCGGACCCAAGAGGCGGGGGGACCAGCTCCCTGGGAGACGGGAAAATGCCCGAAGCAAAAAACTCCCCAGAGTCGCCCCGCTGCCGAATTAGCTTGGCTGCAGCTAACGCTTCATCCGACAAGAAAAGGGAGCGATCAGCAGCCCAAGCCTCGCAGACAAACCTACGGTGGAACGTGGTCCCTGGGGCCCCCTTGCACAGCCTGCAAAGGTTGCACGACGCCAAGCCGTGCCGCTGCAGGCGGTCCTGGGTCCAGTGGGTCCCCGAGACCGCGGCCCTGAGAGAATTCTTATGGGTCCTGTCCCAGGCATCGTTTCTCCTGGCGAACAAAAAGTCCAGCGGCTGCCAAAACACCGGCCGACACCACGACGACGAACCCTCACGAGCCTCAAGGGCACGAAAATCCGACATCTCTCTGGCAGCCTGCTGGGCAAGAGTGGCAACAATCGACGGCGAGAGCCTGAGCAGATCTATCTGCTCGCCCGTCGAAAGAACTATGAGGCGCGCCGATCTCGCTTCCCATTCCAGATCCCCACAAGCAATCGCAAACACGTGAGCAGGGGACGTCGCCCTCGACCACGGGCGACTGGTGGTGGCAAGCGATCGAACGGCGTCCTCAAAAACCGCCTGCAGGATCGCTATGCTGGGGAGTCCATCCCAGACAGCCCGAGCCCACTCGAACACAACCTGCTTGAAATACAACGGAACGGGATCCATGGTCCTACCCTGCTTAAACGTGCGGAGTTTTAAACCCACAGACGCCCCCTGCTTCGCAGGAGCCAGAGACAAGAGGGCCTGAGTGCGGATCCTTTTTAACTGCGACCAAGGAAGCCCTCTCACCGAGGCCCCCCACAACGCCGAGGCCTGAGGGCCCGCTCTCTGGATGTGCCCCACATAGGCCCCAGCGCGCCTCAGAGAGCGGAGGCGCGACGACCTACGCATGCAAGTCTTGACCCTGTTGGAGGCTATGGGGGCCAACCTAGAAGAGCTCACTTGCCAATCGGTCCCCAGACTCCTAATCACAGCCTTCTTCTTGAAAGACGCCTTCCACGCACTGGCCAGTCCCTCAGCAACCCCTTTCGATGAAGCAAGAACCTGTGATTTTTCTCCGACAGCACAAGACGCAGCCTGCGCAAGCCATCGATCAGCTTGCTCCCGACGCCGCCCAGCTCCCTGACGACGTGGAGGCTCGTGCCGACGGACTGCACGCTGATGTCATCTATCACATTCCTCACCATCGACGTCGGGTGCTCGCTCTCGACCTTGGTGAGCAGGCGAAACAGCAGGACTCTCGCCAGGCACGTCGCGAGCGAGCAGCCCGCCAGCACCGTGCCTGAGGCGTGGAAGACCACGGAGACGCAGCCGTTGAAGGACACCGCACGCGGCCCCGAGTAGAGCGAGCATGCCGCTCTACAGAGCCTGGTCGAGAACTTCACAGCCTCCGCCTCTGCGAACAAAACTGCGTGACATATACGCTCGTAAAACTTATCTAAGTCCGTGGCCAAGGTGGCTGACTGCATGCCCCTGCTGCGCGCAAAGTGCGCCATTGTCTGGTGCACCCAGCCCGCTCTGTCGCATTCTCGATCTCGCACGCCCCAGAAGACACCAGCAGCGTGTTGGTCCTCCCAGAGCTTGGCCTCCTCGCGCCGCACCTTGCCCCAGACCCTCAGGATGGAGCAGATGAGGGCGATCGGCCTTACTCCCGAGCCGTCAGGTTTGCCCAAGAAGACCATCAGAGTCGGCCATCTGTCCGAGAGCTGCGGGTCGGCCTCCCACAGCTCCATGAGGTCCACGAGCCTCTCCATGAAGTCGTCGTCGAGCAAGGCGAAGGAGCGCGGGTTCACGCAGTCCACCCCACAGCCCACCTGGTGGGGGAAGGAGCGGCACACCGCACGAACTCGCTCAGCCGACGGCCTGGGCAACTCATCACTCTGCGCGACTGCTGCCTGGATCTGTGAGATGCTCTCCTTGGCGTCTCCCCAGTACTGCAACCAATCCATGTGCATTGCCTGCACGGCCGCATCCCCTTGCAGCGCCCAGCCCTCAGGAGCCACTGGCCCTTTCACCTGCGGCAAGTCCTTCAGGTACCTGTGAGCACGACGGCCAACAGCTTTCACCGCGGACTGGGCCCACTCTCTCCACTCCTGCAGCTGCACCTTTGCCGCCGCCTGGGACGCCTCCAGAGCCGCTTGATGGACGTTGGTCGCCAGGGTGGCCAGGTCCTCCCCGCCCGCTTCCGCAACGCTGCGCAGCGAGTGCAGGTCGAACTCCACGATCTTGACCCCCGTCAGCGTCGACAGGTCGAGGTGGTCCAGCTCCTCCAGCAGGCGAAGACGGGTATCGCCTCGGACACGTCCCTTGCGACCATGCTGCCTTCCGACCTGGCCCCTGAGACGCTCCCCTGGTTTAATGCCTTGGCCACCTTCACGGCCCAGGGGGTCTGCAGGAGCCAGGTCTGTCGACGATTGGACCTCAGCTCCAGCCAAACAGACCTCGCACCCAGGCATGGGCCTCCCCGACTTGCATGCCGCAGCAGCAGCCAGGAGGAGGAGGAGGAGGAGGAGGAGGAGGAGGAGGAGGAGGAGGAGGAGGAGGAGGAGGAGGAGGAGGAGGGAGGGACCAGTGTAAACTCAAGATCTGCAGCAGATATGTCGCAGCAAATCTCTCCCTTCGAGTTCCTCCCTCGATCGAGCCAGCGCTGGCATCCTCCAAAGGATCGGCTCTCAGATGCTCGCTCGGGGGGGAACTTTCTTGAGGGACCACCTGAGGATCTGTAACACTCTAGTTCGACCCCAGCGTTCGACCCTGTTCGACCCTGTTCGTCTCGAGTTCGGCCTCAGGGTCGACTCGGGTTCGATCGTGTTCAATTCAAGGTCGGCTCAATTCGACGGACGTTCGACGCAGCTTCGATGCACAAGCGGAGCGAGTGTCTCCAGGAATGTCCCCAGAATGCGCATCAACGGTCGGGACAGGCCAGCCACAACTGGGGGAGCTGTGGTCCTTACCCCCCTGGGGGACCCATCGATTTCGACACCCCTCTCGAGAGGTCGTCGATGCGATGGGTTCCCCCAGGGGGGTAAGGACCACAGCTCCCCCAGTTGTGGCTGGTCGGAGGCGTGAGCTGGAAGACGAAATAACAACATAAACACGCTGGGCCGTTTGGCGGCGCCCTCAGCGCCGCCCCCCGGCGCGCTCCTCGCGCCAGGGAGTGGGTCCAGCGCCGATTCAAGAGATTCTCGCGGACCTCCGGCAGGTTCTGTTCACGACGTTTTTTCCCAACCCTCCTGCGTTGGGTTCTCGTTTTGAATAGAGCACAGCTCGCGCGTCTCCTTCCTTCCCTTCTTCCTTCCTTCCTTCCCGTCCCTCTCTTCCCCCCTGCCTTTTACCTCGCTCGTCGCTGCA